GAGAGTAGATCATAAGAATTCTCATTATAAGGAAAAAACTTTTTTTTTTCTTTTTTGTATCTATATGAGAAGATGGATGTCAACTAAACTTAGGGTGGTGATCATGTCACAATAAATGTAAGTCAATTATGCTGTACACCTTCAGCTTACACAGTGCCATACATCAAATATAGCTCAATAAATTTTTTTTTACCACAATAAAAAATTAGGAAAAAAAACTTAGTCTAATCTGATAATTTAGAAAATCTGCTCTGGAAATTCTCAGTCACTTCTGGATACATGGTGAACCTCTTAGATTTCCCAGGCTTGGTCTCCGTTTCCCTCACTACACTGTGTTTGGATGTATGGGGAGGGGACACTGGAGGTGGAAGCTTATGTGACCCTGCCGCAGAGGTAGAAGAGTGGGGTCCTCGGGCGTTTCCCTTGCCCCCCCTGGATGTCTGGGCGCTGCCTGCTTCTTCTCCCCACCCTTGTCTCATAGCTCCAGGCTGAGGAAACACCAGGTATTGTGACACATCAAAACATTTCATTGTGACACTGGTTGGGAAGCGGTACCGTGGTCTAACTGGCCTGAGTCACCCATGCCTCCTCTCCCCCCTCCCCCAGACTTCCCTGGCCACTTCCTTTCACTGGCCCTGTGATCCGGCCCTCCTCTCAGGCCATGTCTGCAGTGTGGCTGAGCCCCGTCACCTCTCCCCTCATCACGTGGGCATCCTCTTACCACATCCAAGAGCCTTCTTACGTACTGCAGTTTCTCACTGACCACTGGCTTCCCAGAAGACTGGAAGCTTCTCAAGGAGGAAGGCCATGTATTGCCCGTGTCTGGGACCATTCCTGGCTCAGTATATACTTTTCAAAGAAAGCATCCATCACAGCAGCTGCTACTCGCTCCCTGTCTGCAGGCCCTTGTTAAAGCAGCGGTCCCCACCCTTTCTGGCACCAGGGACTGGTTTCGTAGAAGACAATTTTTCCACGGATGGTTGAGGGGGAAAATGGTCCAGGCGGTCATGCGAGCGATGGGAGTGGTAGAGGAAGCTTCCCACGCTCACCTCCTGCTGTGTGGCCAGTTCCTAACAGGCCAAGGAAGGTACTGGTCCAGGACCTGGGGGTTGGGTACCCCTGTGTTAAAGTACCCACGAGTGTCAAGGCCCCTAACTTTACATCTCAAATAAAGCACAAAAGCAATGAGCAAAGTGTCATGAAAAGAAACACATAGTTCTTACCAACATGCCATTTTCTAAGTCCTAGAACAATCACGAAATTAGAAAGTGGTGTGCCTGCTCTGCAGTGAGCAAATGCTGGTCAACAGACTGTGTGAGGCTGTCTGGGTCTGAACCACCCAGAGGAAGAGTGTGTGTGTGTGTGTGTGTGTGTGTGTGTGTGTGTGTGTGTGTGTGTGTGTGTGTGTGTGTGTGTGTGTGTGTGTGTGTGTGTGTGTGTGTGTGTGTGTGTGTGTGTGTGTGTGTGTGTGTGTGTGTGTGTGTGTGTGTGTGTGTGTGTGTGTGTGTGTGTGTGTGTGTGTGTGTGTGTGTGTGTGTCTGTCTGTTTGTGTGTGAAACCCCCCAGGACATCAGCCAAATTTGAGAATTGCTGCTTAAGCTGACATGTTTTTCCCAGTCTGATACCTGTTTAAACTATGGCATTTAATAAAGAGAGGCTGCCCTTAACTCATTAAAAGTGTTACAACAACAGTAATATCATGGAGAACCAGTTTTTAAAAAGCACAGTTAATCATAATTCATCCTTGGTAAAATAACTGGGAGCCAAAATAAATTCTATCCTCTAAAAAAAACTGGCCCTGAAGCCTATTTACTTACTGAAAATTCCTCTGACAGCTCAGATGTGAAGATGCCGGTGAACATAAGGTCCAGGTGCTTGTTTCTCTGTTGGCCCGGGGCCTCCTCCTGCACTTCGGGGCTTGTACCCACTTGAGTTCAGCCACCAGGGAGAATGGCGGCCAGAGGAGACCGAGGTTGGGAGACCTCTTCCTGACGCTCGACTGGATTTTCTGGCAGAGGCCGAACGTCCCTCCACTAGAGCTCCTGACCACCCTTCCTTCCTCAGAGGTCCAGCTCCTGCAGGGGCGGTTACAACTTCCAGCTGTTGCTGATATGCCTTAATCCTGCTAACAGCCCTTCAAGTAGCCCTTCATTTAAATCTCCTGAGCTATGGAGTTGGATTCGCTTTCCTGCAGGGACTCCAACTAATTAGTCCATAATAAGAAACTCCTGACTGTTGTCAGCTAGGACCATGATATCCTGATTCTCTGGTCACTGATGGACATTATATTAGTGCAGGTATTCCACCAGTATGACTGGAAAATAATACGACTGAGTTCCTAAACTAAAGGCCGAAAACTTGTACCTTCAAATTTCATTGCTTCCTCAAAGTCAACACCTTAGGATGCTTTAATATCTATTCCAATAATGGCCAAGCACGTTAAAATGGCCTGAGGTTGCCTTTTAAGGTTTCCTTTAGTGTTCGTATTATTTGGAATGTCAATCCTTCTTCGATGGCAGATTTGATACGGATCAACAGGCAATATCATATACACATATGGAAATTAGCAGTAATTTCACGATGTTTATATGCAAATGTCACTAATTGCCCTCAAAATGTCTTTTATAGCTTTTCTTTTAAGCTAGGATCCAATCAAGGTTCATGAATTGCTTTTGGTTGTCTCTTTAGCGCTTTGGGGGAGGCAGAGATGTGACCTTATGTGTGTAACTGAGATCCAGTGCGTGCGTAACACCATAAATGTAGGAACTCACTCAAATGGGACTTCAGGGAAGGTTAAGTGTTTGGGGCATTGCAAAGGACACAAGTTGGGTGTGGGAGATGAGTCAGCCATTCGTAAGGGCCATTAGACCAGTGTGACTAGTCGGCATTTTCCTTTTTCATGTTAGGACACACAGAAAATATTTCCATAGCACGCTGGGTTGAACAGACAGGGCTTCTTTGGGGGCTGTCTGGGGCTCTAGCTGCCTCAGGTCCCCTGTCCCAAAGGCTGGGGGACCTACATTTGCAGTACACCTTGGAAATGTTCAGACCCAAAGTATGGCAACTTTTGCCAAAGTTTCCAGGCTTCTTTATGTCCTGGGGTATTTTTTATTTCCAACCCCATCCCTTGAGCTAACCTTGTGTGTTTCTCCCTCAGTAAAGTCTCAGCTAGAGTCTTGCTCTGTCCGTTCAGCAGCCACATATGCCCATTAACCTGAAAACACAACGACAGGAGAGGCCTTTTTCCATGTTATTTATTCACAGTCAACTAGCTTCACGAGGGAGAAAAACAAATTAGTCAGAGCTTTTGGGGGAGGCGTAAGGGGATGGGTGGAAGGCTGGGATTTTAAACAGAAAATAATCTTATAAATGGTTAGATGAAAGATTGACAAATATCCATTAAAAAAAATAGTATCCTCTGAGGGTAAGTGAGGAAGATAAAATCATCATGAATAAAATAAATTAACAACTCTTGATCATTGCATTCCTCAAAACCAAAGTCTCTGAAAATGGTTTGCATTTCAGACTGCTGCAATTTGCAGACTTCTGTGATATATATCTATTTCCAACACAGAGAAGTAAAGACAAACACTAAGCAACAGATGAATACAATGTAGGGAAAATTGAGCACATGAAAATAGCTGTCATCTGGTAGCAAAAATAGAGGTATGCCAATGTTAATATCAAAATTAAAGACATTCAAATACATTACGCCAATACATTGGAACTATCATTCCTAAGATCATAAGAACAACTGCTTATTGCTCCTACTCATAACTAAAAGCTCTGAGGAAATCCTGTGATAGCTGGAAGGCATAACTACAGAGTATGCAGTAGACCTACGACAAGTTTCAACAGCCAAATAAAAACTGTATACTTTATCATTTTTCTCTTCGGGACGACGTTGTTAATAGTAGGCTAAGACCACTCATCATAAGTCTGAGGAATACAGATGGATATCGCTCGCGAAGCCCAAGCCAATGATTTACTGGAAGTAGTTAAAGGTAGAATGTGAGAAAAGCAGCAGCCCGAATGAAGCAAATATATTTTTTTAAAAGTTGGTTTGTCTACTTTTCTCTCCCAGAGAACCTCACAGGAAGCACAGGAGGCCATGAGGGCTTTCTGGGCATTCTGTGAGGACCTGATACATAACGGACGGTTGTCCTAAAGTGAACTCCATGTGTTTAATTAGTACCAGAACCAGCCTGGCTTCTGGGAGGTGCATGGCATGGAGGAGCTGCACTGAGGCTTTGATTATTGAGTTTGACTCCAGGAAATACCAGCCTAGGCTTTGGGGCCTGGGGAGGGAGTAACCTGCTGCCAGGCTACCCTGGAGACGGTGGCTCCTTCCTGAAGCATGTCCCGCAGCTTTGGATAACTGGCAGGGGCAACAGGAACACTGGAAGTGTAACGTGGCTGACTGTACACGGTCCCATTTCCAAGAACAGCTGTGCAGTTCACCATACATTTGGGATGGGATGATAAGGAATGAAATGGAGGTTACAACATGTACCTCAAGTGATGCAGTGATTGGCATTATGCAATCGGGAGATTCAAAATCCAAAGTCAATTCTACCTCAATTCTTCCCAAACAATGCCATGTTTCTGTTTTCTTCATCCTAAGAATATAAAATGTCCTTGAGATACAAATTAGGTGAGAGGATGCTTTTGAGAATGGAGGCTGAAGGAAAAAAGAAGCCATTTCCCACTCAAGGGAATTTGAGGATTATAATAGGATGCATCACCAAGCTGCTTAAATTTCAGAAAAGCCCTTTATAGATGTAGGTACTAATAGACTTTAAAATCTGCATACATATTCAAATTCAGCCCCACTCCCATCTCAAATAAGATGACTACAAAGGTGATATTTGGTCCCTTGATCCTCGTGATTACAAAATGAAACATAAGATCAACTGAAATAACAGCATCAGGACAATTAAAGACTTTCCAAAGACTGCATGACAAAGCTACGTCCATTCAGGCTGCATGTTCTCTTTCTGTTTTGTTTTGAGCCAGCCCCTGGAGTAGGCCTAGAACAGTCAGTAGTACTCAAGTTCTACATTTACCTTCACACTGTGAAAACTAGATTTGTTTTCCCCTGGAGTATCCTTAAAATCTACAGCCTGCTTCTTCCCGTCTGTGAGAGCAGAATTTAGATACATGTTTGAAAAGAAAAGAACAAAGCACATAACCAAAGAATTTGATTGGGTCAGTTAACTGCTTAGAAATGGAAATGATATTCGAACTGTGTTCATCTTGACGTCTTGATACATGGAATGGATGAAAGCAATATTTAATGAGTCGTGTATTGTTTTAAAATGCTAGTCACTTGCAGATTCCAAAAGGCTACTGACCCACTTTAAATAACTCTCCATTTTGAAAGTGCAATACTCTCCAACTAGTTATTTGGTGTGACATTGAAAAATCATGCATTCTTTTTTCCATTATTTATTCTACTTTTCACTCATAGCATTCTCTGAAATTATTTAAATACCTAAAAATGTTTTCTGGAGAAATCTTTTTACACACCACTTTACTTGATATTACATAAAATCGTCATGGACTTTAGAGGAAAAGGCTTCAAACGTAGGCTTTGGTTTTAAAGTAATCTGGGCAGAAGTTAGAATTGCTTTGATCACACAATTCAACTACTGCACAAATTCTATTATAGTAATTGGAAATAACACATTTAAAAAGGCGAAGTTTCTCCTTTCAGTAGTTATAGTCTGTATTATTCAAGACTGCTGCAAAACTCACAAAAGAGTGATATGAATAAGAAGAAGTGTAGGAAAGCGATAAGACACTTAAAGTTTTACCAGGACATAACACAAAGGAAGAGCATCAATTCTCTACATTTGTCTATAAGGCAGGTGGTCAAACTTTTCATACAAGATCTAAAATATGGTGCTTATTGAGAGGTAGAAAATACCAAAACACTATTTAAGAAAAACATGTTGAATTATTTAAAACAATCAGTTACTTTGCTAAACTTTTGGAAAATCAAACTGCCATGTTGAATGCACCTGTGTTTTACACTAAATTGGGACATTCCATATTCAACAGAGATGTGGTCAAACAGCGGAGGAGGCTAGAGGTGGGGTGGGAAGCAGAAAACAGTTTCTTAACTTGTAATGGATTCAGCTCTCACTAAGGAGAAATTTCCTACTGTCCGCCTGGGATTTCATTTTGACATTTAATTAACAGGGGTTTCTCCGATTATCAATTTTTCTGAGTAACGGTACAATTTTGCACATAAGGCAATGAAACTATAGGGAGGGATGAGTTCGAATGCTTCCTCTTTGAGAAGCTGCCATCTCCATCTTATATAAAAACATACACCCCACTAACCGTATACCATTCCCCCAAGCACGAAAACGCAAATGCAAATATTCTTCAGACTCAGTACCAGCAGAATTGTTCTTTGTGAGCAATTCAAAAGCTGTCTGAGGCAAAAAGATATCTGAGCTACCACATTAAACCTGGGCAGCTTGCACACAGGTGAGTAACCCTTCGTATTCTTATTTCTTAACGCACCTGGGAAAGATGGATATTTTTTCCAACATAATTTTATAAGGCATACATTTAATTAGAATTTTCCTAACCTTTGGAAAATTAGTGTTAAAGCTTCTTTTTTAACCCACATGTTAACATTTAATCTTTCATTTTTATTAAATAGTTTATATATAAAAAGAAATCTCAAGGTGTTCTACATTCATATAAACAATTGTGATAACATTTGAAATTGTAAAGAAACCTACTGAAGAAAATATATACTTAAATACAACACTAAGCCAGGAAGCACAAGTGATTGTTCTAGGTGATGTTGTTTAAATATACAGACACAGGTTTGTGGCTTCAGAAAGCAAACACGGGAGAAGTACAAAGATGTATCGCTCTTTCCTCTTTTACCACAAGACAGGATGGTCCAGTTTGGAAAAACCAAGATCTTTCCTAAGTTCCAAATAGGTGCCACTGCTCACCCAAGAGTCATCGCTGGATTTCCTGTGAAAGTGAAAGAATTTGCTGAAGGCTCGTGACAAGACTGTCATAGTCTCTGTCTCCTTTTCACCCCGTTCCTCCCCCGCCCGCCCTCTCCAGCTTATCACTGGCACCTGCACCCCTGTCCCTGTGGTCCAGTACTGGACCAGCGAGGGAGCAGAAAGCCTGGAAACCGTTTTGCTGCTTCTGACTTTGACTTCTCCAACTTAGAGGCTGTGAGAAATGGGTGCTTCTGAGAGAAGTGGGTGAGGGTAGAGTCTGTCGTACAGAAAACAGGGCTGGGATGACAGCTACCACCTGGGGTATGGCCACGTAAAAGTTACAAATCAATCACGTTGTTCAAATCAAGTGATCAATTAACAGTAAAAAGGAAAGGAATTGGAATCGCAGCCTGGAGTGAACAGCCTTGGTTCACTATTCTATGCATAGATAATATACTACGTAGATCCAAATTCAAAAGGTACCAAAAGAGTGGAGAGCTGAACGTTTTCTTCCTACTCCCAGCCTCCCAGTTCTCTGCAGAGACAATGATCTTAGCAGCTTCACTCAGAGAAATTCCACGTGTGTGAGCGTGCACGCATGCACACTCACATTCCACTCCTCTCCTATTTTTCATTCAATGGTAGCCCTGGATGGTCTTCCACCCCTTGAGTTTTTTTGGTTTTTTTGCGGTACGCGGGCCTCTCACTGTTGTGGCCTCTCCCGTTGCAGAGCACAGGCTCCGGACGTGCAGGCTCAGCGGCCATGGCTCACGGGCCTAGCCGCTCCGCGGCATGTGGGATCTTCCCGGACCGGGGCACGAACCTGTGTCCCCTGCATCGGCAGGCGGACTCTCAACCACTGTGCCACCACGGAAGCCTTGAGTTTATATATATAACATATGTATTAGAGATCCTTTTCCATTGTTACAATAAGGTCAGCAAACTACAGCCCAAGGGCCAAATCCAGCCTTCAGCCTATCTCTGTAATACCATTTTACTGGAACACATCATGCCCATTCATTTAAGTATTGTCTATGGCTGCTTTCACATTGCACAGCAGGGTTGAGTCATTACTACTGAGGGCTTATGGCCTGCAAAGCTAACAATATTCACCATTTGCCCTTTGCAGGAGAAGTTTGGTGACTTTGGCAAAAAGGGCTTCCTTTTATTCTTTTTAAACAGGTGCATGATAGTCCATTGTGGGGATGGACCATGATTTAACAAGTACCCTACTGGTGGGCACTGAGGATGTTGTTTTCAACCTCTAGCTATTATAAACAAAACATATGTTATTTTGTATGTGCAAGAGATTAGTTATATTAAAAATTCCTATAAACTGAACTTCTGCACACTTGTAATGTTGACTGATATTGTCATATGCTTTAGAAACAAAAGTGAGGAGTGCCTATTTTTCCACATTCTCAGGATCATAGATTTTTATCACAATTGTTTTTCTATTCCAATAAAGGGATGTGTTTAAAAATAAATCAATCTGCATATCAGATACTTTACTATGAAACAAAGACGACTATCGCTGCCAGAGCTGTAGTTTCCACTTGAAATTTCCAGTGATGTTTTCATGGCTCCTCAGTGAGTGTCAACGGAAACGTCCAAGTCCCCATGCTCCTCTGTCATCTCTGCCAGCGTCTAATTGCAACAGTTCCCGGACTGCTACTGCTGAACAATTCTCACCTTTTCTCACAGTTTTACTTGCCACATCTAATACTCTGATAATTTTACAGACAATCAAGAGGAAAAAGAACTGCAGCTGTGTTCAGTCCTTGTCCATTCCAGACATAATTCTTACACGGTTGCAGTGACAGCCCAGATAACATTTTATATTTTGCATTTACATGTTAGTTCATTTCCCACAGAGCTCCACAGACTGTGTGAAGTCATTTTTGAGGTTTTTACATCAGATCAAGTTGATAAATCTCCTTATCTATCTCCTGAGACAGTTTGGTTATCCACAATTTTTAGTGATCCTAAAAATACTGTAATGAACCTCTTTAACAGATATTACCAAAATCAATTGATCAGTCTGTTAGTCTATCCATTCACCTATCCCTTGCCTTTATATAAAAAAAAATAATTTAAGGTGTCTTATTTTTTAAATGTTTAAATGAAGTTATGAATATTCTGGGATAAAACTCTGGCCTACTGATCTTCAGTCACTCATATTCTGAGTTTGTGAAATGATCAAAATCCACATCAACTTTAGGGGAAAGGACATAATACTCTGGGGATAAAACATAACTTGTTGCTGCTATTTTGCTGTTTTGGAAATATATAATTTTATTGATGCAGCTGATAGATTAGTTGCTAAATCCTCCTAAACGTGTTTCTGTTGGCCATTAAAAAATAATAACAACGGGCTTCCCTGGTGGCGCAGTGGTTGGGAGTCCGCCTGCCAATGCAGGGGACGCGGGTTCGTGCCCCGGTCCGGGAAGATCCCACATGTCGCGGAGTGGCTGGGCCCGTGAGCCATGGCCGCTGAGCCTGCGCGTCCGGAGCCTGTGCTCCGCAACGGGAGAGGCCACAACAGTGAGAGGCCCGCGTACCGCAAAAAAAAAAAAAAAAAAAATAATAATAATAACCACCAAAACATCCCTGCAAACAACAACAAAATCCTGAAAAGAAGACTGGGAGGAATAGGTAGGGCAGGAGCTGGCTGCTTTTCTACCTGTGATTGTTCCATTGCTGATTTTTAAAAAAATGGACAAACTAAAAACCCCTAAAACCATATCAAGCCCTGGCCTGTAGTCAAGAGAGCCAGGCCCCAGTCTGGGACATTCCACTGGGTCTCTCCACAGATCACCTATGTCCCCTGGGCCTTCGTTTCTTTGCAGTTAAAATAAAAGAGGGGGTGAAGGGCAGATGATCTCTGACGCCCCTTCTAAATCTTTCAGTCTGTTCTTAACGAGACCTTCCTAGCAAGCTATTTTTAAAATAATACTAAATGTTCCAAATCCAAGCCCCAGTAGATTGGAACTTCTGCAATTCAAGAATTAGATTACTTGGAAGTTCTAGTTTGGTGAAGAAAGGGGTGACAGCTAATTATCTCCATCACTGTGTAGAATCTACCCATTTGGGGGACCAACCTTAGACATGGCTTGAATAAGCTGGCCTGGTACTGGGAGCTGGGTGTGGTTGGTCTCCTTGCTTCTCCCACAAGCACTTACTGAGCACCTCTCTGCAAAGTCCTGGGAGAGGCCCTGGGAGAGACCAAGGAACGCAAAAAAGGAGGGCTGCGCGGGGCAGCCTGGGGGCAGTGTCCCCACAAAGTCGGGCCTTCACAGAGGAGGGATGTCACCACTCTGAAGCAGGAAAAGGGCCGAGAACACTCTCTCGTGGGGAGGGGACACCCCAGTCTGTTCTCTTCGCACCAGAAGCGTCAGGCGTCACCAGTGCCTGCCAACAATGACCCACACGACCCCAGCTGCACACATACCTGAAAAACCGCGGCTGGTGCTCCACCTTATTTTCTTCCAAGACCCGCCGCCTTTCTCTCTGCAGCTGTTCAATCCTCTGCTTTTGTATTTCGGCCTCTTCTAAGCTCCCTTCTTCTAGAAACCTGAGGCATTGAGGAAAAAGATAAAGGAATAGAACATCAAAGAAATGTAACAATCATTACTATTAGAACTGCATGTGTGCAACCCTGGATATTCAGAATACTCTCCTATACATAAGCCCCCTCCTCAACTCTTAAAACATTATTTGCAGGTAATGAGGGACAGTATTGTGCTCTGAATTGGTGATACAGACATGGTTCAAAAAATTATACCTATGAAAAGGAATTTGGGGTAAAATCTCCCTCTCTCATTCCCGTCTCCAGTTCTACCTGTTTCCTCCCCATCCCACCCACGTTCACGCCCCCCACCGCAGGTAATCCACCGTTACCGGTTTCTTGTGCATCCTTCTGGAGCTTCCTGATTCGTATATAAACACACATTAATATACATTTTTACCCCTCCCTCCCTTTTAAGAACATAAACGGAAGCAGGCAACACATACTGTCCATAATTTGGTATCTTGTTTTGTTTTACTTTTTACTTAACCATATACCTTGGAGCTGATTCTTGGTAGTACACAGATCTTTTCACTTTTAATAGATATATAATATTCAATTGTGTGGATACACCTGCATTTATTTTAAACAATTCCCTATTGATAGACATTTGGGATGTTCCCAATTTTTTACGTTAATTTTTAGAATTAATGCTGCAGTGAAGGACTGTATATATCTGTCATTTTGCACATGTGTTAGTATATCTCTCAGGAGACAGTTCTAGAAGTGGAATTGCTGGGTTAAAGTGTGAGTTTGTAATATATCTATTACCAAACTGCCCTTTATGGGCATTACAGCAATTTACGTTTCCACCAGCAATGTTACTGAAGTGCCTCTTCCCCGTGGCCTCAGAGGGCATCAAACTTTTGAGTCTTTGCCATCTGATAGGTAAAGAAATGGTATGACAGCATGGTTTTAAAATTTTGTGGGTTTTTTTGAGTAAGACTGAGCATCTTTTCATATGTTGAAGGGCTACCTGCATTTCCTATTTTGTGAACTGTTCATTTCCCTATGTCTATTTTTCTTTTTAATGGATTGATCTTGATTTCTAGAACCAATTCATGAAGTGAGCTGCAAGTATAGATTTCTCAGTCGTTAATCTTTTGACTCTGGGTATACATTTTATTTACTTTACCATGAAGAAGGGTGCTGGGTTTTTTAAAAATAAAGTCAAATTTTATCAATTTTATTTTATTTTTTGCCTTCTTGGTTTTGAGTCTTAATTAGAAAGGCCTTAGGAGAGAGATTCTTCTTTCTGTTTTACAGAGTTGGAAACTGAGGCTGAGAAAGGTTAAAAGACTTAGCGTATGCGACACAGCTCGTCAGCAGCAAACCTAGGATCAGAAGTTAGATTTCAGTGCACCAAAATAAGTTAAATTCGAGGGGTGGAGAGCTGGATGCTTTTACTCTTTCAAATACAGAGTAAGTTTTTCTTATTGCTGTATGCAGTGAAACTCTTTAAAAAAAGACTTTTTTTTTTCCAATAGAAATGGAGTTCTACTGGTGAATAAAGGTCATGCCACACACAGATCTAAGCTGGGCTCCGCTCCTTCCACAAGATGGCTTAAAGTCTCCCTAGACGTCTGCTCTTGATGACAGAATCTCTCGCTCTTAGGCTCCTTTGGTGGCCTGGGAGATGTTACCAAGACTTTTTACAAAGAGTTTCACATCTCTGGAGATACAGATCTGAAAAAAATCCTTACCTTTGGTCTGGCCTGAATCGAGTGTCAGTAGGTGGTAATAAAGACTTTAACAATGGATCCATTTCGTTTAATTCCAGTGCAAACTGTGTGAAGCCATAATATTGCTCATAGCCTTTTGGCATGGGATCTAAAGGAAAAAGAAATCATTCATCACTGACTTGCATTGCATTCACATCACATCTTAATTCCTTCACCTTTTTCATCTCAGACCAGCTACAATTTTTCTCTGTCGGCTCTAAACTCTTCCATTTCTATTAAAATATTCTGGCTCACAGACAGGTGCTGAATTTTTCTCTATAAATTTTCTTCTCTATAAGCTTCCTGCTACCTACAAGCATAAGGCCTTCTTTGTGTGGTCCTATAGCAAATTTATTAAATACCAAGACGATTCTATAGAATTTAAGTTATAAAAATAATTTGTTACTAAAATAGACATGTTAAAAAGAACTCTAGGTCCACTTTTCCTGAGTAACAAGACTTTCACTCTAGAGAATCGTTTTCCATTTAAGAGATGTCAAATTCTCCTGAAACTCTGTCTAGTACCTAGAATAGTGTTGGACCCATACCAAGAGGTCAATAAATATTATTATTATTATTCTTTTTTCTTTTGCTGTACACGGGCCTCTCACCGCCGCGGAGCACAGGCTCCGGACGCACAGGCCCAGCGGCCACGGCTCACCGGCCCAGCCGCTCCGCGGCACGCGGGATCCTCCCAGACCGGGGCACGAACCCGCGCCCCCCGCGTCGGCAGGCGGACTCCCAACCACTGCGCCACCAGGGAAGCCCAATAAATTTTATTCTTTACTTCCAGTCCTGCTCTTCTTTTCACCAATGCTTGGCCCCTCCAAATCTTACATATTTTAATTTTAAACCACCTCAGCAGAAGCCAGGAATAGAGATGGGATTATAATGGCAGAAACACTGCCAGCTGGAACCAAAGGGGACAGAGAAAACGGAACTGAATGAAGCAAGGCTGCTGGACTACTGTTATTTTACAGATGGAACCAGAGAGCTACGCAGCTGCAAACATGCATTGCCTTCAAGAAAAGGGAGGGATGACTCTGAAGGTGATTCAGAGATCATTGGGCTGCCACTCCCACCACAGGCCCAGACTACACAGATTCAGGGGGCAAGGCTGCCACTACCTCTCAAATGGCAGGGCCGCTGTGCAGCTTCAACATGCCCGGCTGCCACCACCCAGAGCCTTGGGGGGCTTGGGAGCCAGGCAAAGTCCCAGTGGGCCCAGAGGGTGGGGCATCGAGCCAATGAGGATGATCTCCAGTTTTTAGATCAACAGCATTTGCCGTGCTAGGTCTTGGACTCACTTAGGACCTGTCATCCCTTTCTTCTTTCCTCTTTCTCCCTTTGGAATGGGAACGTCTATCCTATGCCCATCCCACCACTGTGTTTTGGAAGCACATTTTGGTTTCACAGGCTCACAGCTGGAGAGGATGAATCATACCTCAAATCTCACCCGTACCTGATTTAGATGATATTTGGATGAGACTTTGGACTTTAGAGTTGATGCAGGAATGAGTCAAGACTTCTGGGGCTGCCGGGGTGGAATACACACATTTTGCACGTAAGAAGGACATGATTTTGGGAGGCCAGGGGCGGAATGTTATGGACTGGATGTTTATGTTCTCTCAAAATTCATATGTTAAAGCCCCACCCCCAGAGTGCTGTCTTTGGAGATGAGGCCTCTGGAGTAACGAAGGTTAAATGGGGTCAGAAGGGTGGGCCCTGATCTGGCAGCCAAGCCACGAAGAAGACTCCCACCAGAATCCGAATTTGCCAGCACCCAGCCTCCAGAACTGTGAGCAAATGAATTTCCGCTGTTTAAGCCACCCAGTCTGTGGTGTTTGTTACAGTAGCCCAAACAGATTAATGCAGGCGTATTGCCCTAACTTTAATTGTTAACTTTAATTTAATTGTTAAGTGCATAGCACATATCCTAATGCTTTAAGCCATTATGAAGGTTTGACTTCCTTCCCCCTTTTCCCCCCAGCTGCTTCAAACACTTAGCATCACTGTACACTCCCTAGGGGATGAATACAACTAAAAGTCAAGCTAAAAATACCCAAATTTACGTATTGGATAAATCAAATGTAGACTAATCCGATCCACTCGTAGCCTTAGCTCTAGCTGTCCACATATACAAATGCTTTCCACGAACTTTTCTGAAGACCCATTTTCTGAAGGTTCAGAAGTCCACTTTGTCTAATTCTAATTCTCTGTGGATCCTAAGCATAAAAATAATAGCAAACCTCCTACTATGCCTTCAAAAATCCATCCCAGTCTCCCAATCACCAGAGTGGAGACAGTGGTTTTTCTTGTAAACAGGCCAGGGATGCTCATAGCCAAGGCAGAGACATAAAGTCAATGAATAACAACAACAGCAACTAGAATAACAGCTTACACACTGTTGTCAAGGTACTACTTTAACACCCAGAGCCTATGGTAGCTCTCATCTGTGATACATTCTTCAAGCAAAGGAGAGCAAGTGTCTCATTCATAAAATGCCATGCGTGCCTCTGAACCTCTGAAGCTAGGAAGGTGGCCATGGTGCCATGTCATTCTAGCTTCGTGGCAACCTCTGCGACGGTGGAAGATGTGGCTGCTACCCGTTGAAAGAGACATTGTTGCTTGCCCACTCTACAGTCATCTCCCTTTCTTACTTGCTAACGGCAAACTCATCTGTTTGGGTGTCACTGTATACTCCCTAGGGGATGAATCTAAACTCATGTGAATCTCTCCTGCCGACCCAGTTGCCCAGGATCGGTTAAGGGATGGGTTTGGACCCACTCCAGGTTGATGAGATATGAAGACACATTTGCTGCAGGATCCTAGGAAATATTTCATTCCTGAGAAAAGACAGTTACAACTGAAGAAAGCTCTTCTGTCCTCCCTTCTCCCCTGCTTAGTGAGCTGTCACAGGGGGATATGATATTGAATCGAGGCAATCATTTTGCATCCATGGGAAGAAACATCACCGCCATATTGGAAGTGGCAGATGGGCCCTCAATGACCTGTGTTCTTGACACAGGTAACCTGCCTGTGTAACAACCCTGGGGCCACCCCCTGCCATTTGTTGTTAAGTGCATAGCACATATCCTAATGCTTTAAGCCATTATGAAGGTTTGACTTCCTTCCCCCTTTTCCCCTCAGCTGCTTCAAGCACTTAGCATCCTTCTAGAATTACAGGAGAGACTGGAGTGGCTTATGGTATTGGGAGAGTCTAGGGGACCCCTAACTCTTGTAGGTCATTCTACTTTTCCAGTAAGAATTTTCCCTTTATCTTTACTCTAGAATGACTTCTTGTACCTCACTGATACTCCTTCATAGTGCCCAGTATAGGCGAAGGAATGATGTGTGTTGACTGGAAGACACAGTGACCACGGATTAGCAATGGCTTTGTTCTGGGATTAAGAACCCAGGACCCATCAACCCAACAGAGGTATTGTTAAGCTTGAGGATGAGTCTGAGATATAACTAGGTGAATGAAAGATGGGCCAGTAGCTCCAACATAGTTCAAAGCAGGTAGAGGCTAGATACACCGAATGGACACTGACGCCCACCCACGTGTGGTTCCTCTGGCCATGTCCCGCCTCCTTTTGCTTGGGGCTGATTAACCAGATACTAACTCGCTCTCCAGATACAAGTGGATGAGGAAGAACCACCGCAGTAGATGCTCTCATGCCATTTCCCAAATAGCCGATGCACTGCTTTTCCACTCTTGTCAAATACTGTACCTTCAATCTCATGGGCATTAGTGCTCCAGTATTTTGCCTAGGAGTCAAATGAGAGTCATCTTTTTAGTGTTTTGGGGTCAATTTATTACAGATATTAAGAGAAAACAAAAGAGGAGAGAAAAAGTACCATATGAATGATTGTATGCTACATATGGTTTGCTGGTTCTGTTTTCAATCATACTTTTAATTATTTAATGAAAAGTAAAAAGCTAGCACTTTATTTACAGTTTGTAACTCAACCACCAACATTTGTGTAAGACACAATTTTTTTTGACTTTCACTACATGCATAGTAGAAAGGAAAGGCTCAGTTCTCATACATCCACCAAGCAGGGGCTGGCCCTTAGCACGCCCTCCGGAACAGCTATTTCCTGGCTGTCACTGGGGCTCTGACTACTGCAGTTTAAAAGAAATGTAACTCATGTAATTTTTTCTCTGAAGGAACTAGACAATCCTTTGTAAACCAACAAATTTTTTAACCAAGTTTGTAAACCAATCAATTTTCTGTTCCTCCTATTAGTTCCCCCCACCTCCCCCAAACCAGATCTGTTCACCTAACTTATAGGAACCTTATACAACCCATATTCCCACTATGAATTGGTGCTGGTCTGAGACCAGCTCATCTTGGCTCAGCCTTGTGTGTTTTACACATACAGTACCACATTGAAGCCAGCAGAGGGAGCTCTAACTCCCTAGTGTTGATTTTTAAACTTCCAATTACATGGCTGCCCTAAAAATCTCTGCGAAAGACCAGAAGGCATTACTCCATAAATCAAAAAATCCTACTACTATTTTCAGCCAAAAAAGAATCCACATTTGGAAACCAATAAAGTTGAGTGACATTTCCAGGCCATATCTGGTAGACTGGCTTCCCCATTCCAACCAAGTCTGTGGTAAAAATGGGAGGAAGGGCAGAGTACAGCAGTACCCCAGAGCTGAATCAGAAAGGTAACAGTGAGTTCTCTAGTCATGTAAAGATGGGGGACAGGGAAACAAACACTGTCCAGGCTCTTCAGTTTATTCTAAAGCAGGAGTCAGATTTCCTCTTTAAAGATATTTGCCAACAAGTCCAATGATGGGAAGCCACAGAGGGAGGCAGTCACGTTCCACAGGCAACGGCTGCCTCTGCTTTCAGATTCTCTTTCAACACCAGAGGCACGTCTAGTGTTCTAATTCTGTTCGTCTCTCATCACTATGAAAATTTGTTCCCTGGTCCTCAGTGGACGAGTACCAAGTGGTTGGTAGAAATGGGAGTGGCGCACACTTCTGTGGGGAAAATTCTGAAAACAAGGCGGCTCTCACCTGGATACCTATCTATCTATCTATCTATCTCCCAGTTATTTATGTCCCTGCTCCAGGTGGCCTTTGCTTCTTTTTGTAGAGAGCTTAGATGAAGCTTTCATGGCAGGGTCATTTGTATTTTACGCCAAATCACTACCAGCTTTATGTCTATCTACAACCCAGTTTGACTTATAGGATATAATAAAGACCCCCATCCACCTCTCCATAATGTCCCCCACCTGCTACAGGTGGTGCAGAGAGGTACCGTGTGAAATTCCACAGTTAGAACCTAATCTCTTGGCTTATGATTTTGATCTTAATTAAATGCAAATATTCCTTGAGGAAGGTAGCACTTTAAGGCCATTTTGTATACATGAGAATTTTAAGGACAAGAGGGAATTTCAGGAGGAAGAGAAGTTGGGGAGAGGGCTCAAATCAAGGAATTTGGAAAGCTGGAAAGGTAAGCAGACTATTCCAGGCTCTCTGCCCCAGGAGAATCTGTGAATGTTCATGAGCCTCTGCTGTGTGCTGGGCACCACTGCCAGGCACTGGCCACAGCAGTGGGCAAGACAGACCAGGCTTCTGCTTTTCTGGAGTCAGGAATGGCAAGGAGGGTGTGGGGAAGAGAAAATAAGCAAGTAAAGCAACAGCGAGCAAGCTAACTGCAGATGGTGATGAACGCTTTGAAGAAAATGGGGTACGATAGAGGGTGACTGACAAGGTGGATGGAAGGATCTGGGGAGAGGGGCCTGAGGAGAAGGAAATGGAGAGAGAAAAAGAAGGACAGTGCAGCTCAAGGATGGTGAGCAAGAAAGGGAACGAGGGGTGGCAGGAGTTGAGGTTGGAGAGGAATGAGGGTGGAGTGTGTGTGTGTGTGTGTGAGTGAGAGGTGGTGGGGGTGAGGAGTGCAGACTCTGAGGAGTGCAGACTCTGCAGGCTTTTGCTCTGAGAAAGATGGAAATTGTCAGAGGATTTTGGTCAAATATGGCATGACTTGCATTTTTAAAAATTGTGGTAAAACATATATAACATAATATTTACTGTTTTAACCATTTCTAAGTGTATAATGGAGTGGCTTTAAGTACATTCACAATGTTGTGTAACCATTGCCTTATATATCTCCAGAACGTTTCATCTTCCCAAACTGAAACTCTGTACCCATTAAGTAATGACTCCCCATTCCCTCCAGTCCCCAGCCCTTGGCAACCACCATTCTACTTTGTCTTTACAGATGCGGCTGCTCCAGGTACCTTACATAAATGGAATCATATCTGTCCTTTTGTGTCTGGCTTATTTCACTTAACATAATGTGTTCAAGGCTCATCTGTACTGTAACATGATGACATGTTTCAACAGGGTCCCTCTGGCTGCCACACTGAAGACAGACCATAGGGGAGTAAAGGTGGAAGGAAGGAGGCCAGGAGGGGCCATGGCCCTGGTCCAGGTGAGAGAGGTGGGGCTGGGACCATGGAGCACCTGGCATTGCTTGTCTACTGGCACAAAAGCGAAGGTGAAAAACTTCCCAAGACACCCTGTGCCCTGAGGCCCAGCTCTGCCGAGGCCTGTCCAGCGCCAGAGCTCACAGGCCACCCAGGTTACCTTTATAAAGTTCACTTTGCAGTGGCAGGAATCATCATTCACGTTCTTGATAACAATCTCTCCATAGTGCTCGATCCACCTCTGCCCACTTAAGATGTTATGGATGCAAGAGGTCACTTTGTTCCACTCAAAATGATCTCCAAAACTAAAGGAAGAAAAAGTGAAAGTAACAACTACCAGAGCAGCCAGCAGCTAATGCAAAGGAGCACTGCTGCTTAAAAAACAAGTCCTGTAATGAATTACTCATTTCTTCATTAATGGAGCCAACACCGACTGAGCCGTGCTGGGCAGTCTAAGAGCTTTCACCCTCTCAGGAGGCTGGGAGGTGGGTGAAGGTCAGACCCAGGAGGCTGCCAGAGGCTCCACTAGAAGCTGGAGGTCTCCTGGAACAACCCACTCTGTCCTGTGCCAGAGGAGACGTGTCGAAAGTCACCAAACTATGAAAGGAGAGTGGCAAGGGGAGGGTAGAGGGGTTTTCCACAATGTGCTCTCTACACACATACATATATGTGCACACACACGAACGTGTACATACAGGCGCACACATGCACATATATACTTATGTATATACACGTGTAGGTGTGTATATTTAGGCACATATGTATACAGGCAGATCTCGCTTTATTGCGTTTTTTACAAGTTGAAGGTCTGTGGCAACCCTGTGTAGAGCAAGTCTATTGGCAGCATTTTTCCAACAGCATCTGCTCCCTTCATGTCTATGAAGTATATAAAACATGACTTTCATAAGCAATGGGAACCCAAAAAATTCATGTGGCTCACTATACTGTAATATTTGCTGTATTGCAGTGGTCTAGAACCAAACCCGCAATTTCTCTGAGGTGTGTCTGTATACATACACACACACATATATATTTTACATATTACTCTTAAGATACGTATATCTTAAGTCTTTTACAATGAGAAGGTATTCAGATATGACTTATGGAGTTAAATAATAATTATGAGGATAATGGTAACAAGACCAAACACTTAAATGACACATAATATGGGCCAATTACTATTTTTTTTTTTTTTTTGCGGTACGCAGGCCTCTCACTGTTGTGGCCACTCCTGTTGCAGAGCACAGGCTCTGGACGCGCAGGCTCAGCGGCCATGGCTCCCGGGCCCAGCCGCTCCGCAGCATGTGGGATCTTCCCGGACCGGGGCACGAACCTGTGTCCCCTGCATCGGCAGGCGGACTCCCAACCACTGCGCCACCAGGGAAGCCCGCCAATTACTATTTTAAGTGCTTTCCGTATCTGCTTAACCTTCGCAACAGTCTTATGAAGTAGATGGTTCATTATCCCTGTTTCATAGATGAGAGAACTAGTGATCAGAAAGGTTAAGTAACCTGCCCAAGGATTTGCAACTAGTAAGTAATGGTGTGAGCACAGGAGTCCCAGTAGCCCAGTTCCAGAGGCCATAATGATTACCATTTTGCTTTATGAATAAGTATCAATAATCCCTGAAGTATTGATACTTCATAAGTATTGATACTTATGAATAAGTATCAATAATCCCTGAAGATCAAGGCCATAGCTTTCTTTAAAAATTTTTTTGACAGTGAGGCAGGACAACAGTGCTAAAGAAATATTATCATGCTTAATTGTGTTAGAAAGTAGAAATGTATTTTTTAAAGCCCCTACTTGGGAACTTTGGTGTCCAGGAAGCATTTCCATTAGAGAGAACAAAAATGTGAGACTGTCAAAATGAAGAACATTTGAAGCTACTGTCAAACACATTAACAGAAAAAAACACACTCAGCACCACGGGGGACAATGGGAATCCTGTTCCTAAACCTTGGCCCTAAATTCTATAAAGTTCCTAACCACAGAAGGAGAACTTACGCTGGCAGAGTCACATGGGTTGTGCCAATGGGAACAATTTCCATGGATTTGCCCCAGAATTTGTTCTTCCATCTCATGTCTGAAATGAAATAATACCAAATATTACATATTTAGCAGGCGAGCTAGGTAGATCAAAGCGTTCTTAGGCTGGATAAATGATCAACCACAATACAGGACAATCTCTTCATAATAAAATTCATTATTATTCAATGTAAGTAGCAACTGAGTACCTGGAACAGAATCAGAGAAACTAAAATTATAAAGTCCCTCCCTTGGAAGAACTCACAGTGGGAAAGGCATACAGAAGTGAAAACGAGTAAGGCCCCCCAGAGAGGCACGGGCCACAACTGGGTATGTTGTAAGGTGAAATGGAACCAGAGAAGGAAAGCCCAACATGCTTGGGGAAGGCATCAGAAGAGGTTTGTCTAAAGAGGCCGCTTAAACTGGGCTTGAAGAATAAACAGTTCACTAGGCAGAGAAAAAGCAGTTTAAGGCAGAAGACATGAGAAGACACGAGAGAACAGGGTGTGGTTCTGTCCTCTGGGTCTCAGACTGTTTAGAGAGAAGAGCAGGAAAACAGCTTGAGTGCAAAAAAACAGCGGGCCCTACAAGCTTGGCTAAGAAGTCTGATTTGGGTGCACTGGGGGAAATAAGGTTTTGTTTAGACAGAGAATTGATGTGATGAGATACAGACTTTGCCAAGATAATTGGCAGCAGTATGGAGAATGGAACAGGAGCAGGAGAGATGAGAAGCAGGTGACCTGTATGCTCAAGGGATAAAAGAGGATGAAGTGAACCAGGACAGGGGTGGTAGGGATGGAGTAGAAGGGAATGATCCTGGAACCATTAAAGAAGCAGAGATAAAACTGGGTGACAAATTAGATGCTGATTGTGAAAGACGGGGAGAATTTGTGGATGATCTCAGATTCTTCCAACTTGCATGAATGATAGTGCCATCAGAGAGACAGGGAATAGAAAAAGAAGGGCAGAGGCAGACGATCCCTCTGGCTGCTGGGTGACAATACACAGACCATAGGGGAGCAAAGGTGAATGCAGGGAGGACAGTAGGGGGTCATGGCCGTGGTCCAGGAGAGAGGTGGGCTGGGACCAGGAAGCTCCTGGGCACATATTACATGATTCTATTTATATGACATGTCCGGACTAGGCAAATCTTTAGGGACAGAAAGAAGATCAGTGGTTGCCTAAGGATGGAAGAGCTTGACAGAAATTGGAAGGTGGGGGGTGGGGGTGGGGGGGAGCAACTAAGAGGTGGGAAAAGAGGTTTCTTTTTGGAGTGATGAAAATGTTCTAAAATTGATTGTAGTGATGATTGTACAGCTCTGTGAATACATGAAAAACCACTGACTTGTACCTTTTAATTAGGTGAGTTGTATAGCCTATAAATTATATCTCAATAAGCTGTTACCCCCCAAAAGATAATTGGTTGTTTAAAGCAAATTAGTAACAATGTATGACAGGGTTTATAACATATGTAAGTAAAATGTTTGTCCACAATAGCAAACGTTGGGGAAGGGGAAATAGAAGTACACTTTTGTAAGCTGCCTTTGCTGTATGTTAAGTAGCATAATATCACTTGAAAGGAGACTGTGATATGTTAAAGATATATAATATGAATCCTAAAGTAACAACCAAAAAATGGAACAAAGAAGTACAGCTAATAAGGCAACAAAGGATATACAATGGAATCACAGAAAATAATTAATCCAAAAGAACGTAAAAAAAGAAGAAAAGGGGAACAAAGAACAGATGCAACAAACAGAAAACAAATAACAAGAGGCCAAATTTAAAACCAACTATGTTGATAATCACAATAAATGTAAGTGATCTAAACAATCTAATCAAAAGGCAGGAAAATGTCAAAGTGGATAAAAAAAAGCAAGATTTGGCAGTCGTGGTCTTATGGAGACACGGGATTGCCCAGGAAGAAGCTGATGAAGAAGCAAAGGGAGTGGAGGAGAAAATTCTGATTGATGTAAGGAGCACACAGGAAGTACTTGAAGAAGACCCCTCCCATTACCTAATACCTAACTTAAAAAAATAATAATAAAGTGCTAACAAGGTCAATGACACAGCAATTAGGAGGTTAGATATCTTATGGGAATTATTTCCAGAGGGTTTCGGTGAAAGAGAAGTCTCCAGTCAAGCTTCAATTTTAAACTTTAGTAGCAAAGACTCAGAAAGGAAACCATGGTACTTGTAACCTAAACTGGTAATATTGCGTCCAGAGAGAGAAACTGGATGGCTACGAACTGGAATGGGGGAAGGAAATTTTTCCACAAAATACTCTTTCTCATCTTTTAAATTTTATAGATGCATTTAAAAAAAGGCAGTGTGGCATATCAGGTGTTAACCAGTTAGCAGAAAAGAATCTTTTAAAAAACTGACATGTGCTCATTGTTCTAAAACCTGGGATGCTCAAATTTTCTTTCTATAGCACCTTCTGACTTTGGAATAAATAACTTAACAAAATTAATTAATCCATTTAGGAAATATTTGCAGCCTTATTTATTCTTCAGAGCAAGCCATCCCTTCGCAAATTCAAAATATAATAAACTGAATACAGGAACAACCCCAAACTGAAAAAAAAAGTCAGCAATGTAACATTTCAGGAATAAAATTTAAAGCTTCAAAAGCAAAAGAACCGTCTGCTGTCTAGAATCTGATAAATAACCGTAAATATTTAATGTCTTGAAATACATGAGGCATTTCAAATGGCCACGGAATGTGATAAAGGAAAAATTGTAGCAATAAACCATGGTGGTGGCCCAGACAAAGACTGAGGATTTTGAAAGAAGAGAACAACTAAGTTATCCTCCAGAATCTTGAATTGTGAAGTCGACAAACGGCAGTTATTGTTCAGAGGTGAGAGGCAAGAACATCAAGTGGTACAGTTGCTTCCAATGAGGCCCAAGTCCAGGGCCCACTTTTGACCTTAACAAGCGTTTACAGTAGTTCCTGAATGAAATAAATTACACCATTACACAAAAGGACAGAAGTCAAATATACGAGCACATTACCTTGCCAGAAAACAAAATTTCCAGACTCAGCGTGACATGCAGAAATAGGTGGGTGGTGGCTGACCTGATGGAAACAAAGGCGAAGAAACAAACAATTAACTTTTGTGTCTCACGAAATCCATTCTTTCTCCCTCGCACTGAGATGTAATACGATTGCAGCCTCGGACTGAACGGAAACTTGTTTAGTTTCCCTTCAATAAGTCTGTCCTCAAGAGGGTGCTCCTGACATAGTCAGCTCTGTCTTGCTCAAATATGTCAGGAAAAAGCCTGTGAATGGAAGCCTCCAGAAGCCTGGGGAAAAAGCAGCCGAGTGGTGAGTGATGAGGGTAGAGACGTGTTTTGAAAGACATGAAAACAAAAGCAGAGATGCAAACACTGCCCACTTATAAATCATCTAATCTGACGTTAGCTGCCAAGGTCAAAATCAATGCTATTCTGAAAGGACCCACAAATGTTTTAATTAAGATGTCAAACAGTCGAACCTAGTTACGTAAATATTCCTAAGCAACACACAAATGCTCTTTGGCTCAGCAGATTTTACTCTTTTGAAAACTCTGCATCACATAGTCCAGCCGCTTTTTATTAAATCACTGACGAGAAGACGAATCCAAGATAGTTTTTTTAAAAAAAGAATGTTTTTATAAAAAAAAAAAAGCTAAACAATTATGGAAGAAATGTTAGTCAACTGCTAAGAAAAAATTTTTGTTCATAAAAATATCTTGAGTAAATATGCAAATTACATTCTAGAAAAGAGAGTCCCGTGTAACAGAGACTGTAGCTCATTTCCCTGCCTTTTATCACTGAGGTCATTACTTCTGTTTTATTCACTAATGAAGAAGCTAAAGAGAAAAGACTTCTCAGTTAATTTCCTCATTATCTCAGTAACATGCAAGGCACGAGAGCAGTATATGTGCTGTTATCATAATTCGGTATTAGTAGAACCAGAGTAATGCTGCTAGCGGCGTTTACAGAAATTTCTCTGACTAAGCTGGTTCTTGGCAAAGGTATCTTACATTTAGGGCATTTGGGCCAAAGCCAGCATATTACACATGAGGAGACTGAAACTAGAAAGACTAAGTAACAGTAACGTTTCCCAAACACACTGATAGGGAAGAAGTAGAGGTAAACCCCAGCATTTTTGGTTTACAGATGGTTTTCAAAAAAGTTTCACAAAAAAAAATCCTTAAGCAGCCACACCCTGTTTTCAAACATATCTTATCAAGAACTCAGTATACTCAGAACCCGGCTTGAGGTGAACAGGTGTGGCAGGAAGTGGGGATGACCAATCCACAACCACTCGCCTTGCTCTGGACCCTGGACTGCAGTGAACACGGAACACAGTTTAAGAACCACTTCTGTGGCCCTCCTCCAGGTGGAGAACGGCAGGGACAGGATCATCGTGAGTGACACCACACACACGTTCAACTGATGGGAGTGCAATGGTACCAGCCTGGCTCGGAGAAAAGTAGGGACAAAAAAGTCAACAGGGCAGGCATCTTTCAGGTCTTGATGAACATAAATCCCAGATCCAATATGAGGTGGGAGGTGCACATTTACTGTCCCTTGATGGTCTTAATTCTCAGAGGCCTCTTGAGAATGTGAGCCCCCTCCCCGTGCCTATGTGCTTTTCAGCTCAAACACTGACTTAGAAACCTCACTCCTAAAATGCAACTCTCTGCTTTCCTTCATCTTCTTCTTTTTCAGTCCAACCCCCTGAAGATACTTTATATCACAAACCGCTACACCCCTGTTTTCCCTTCTTTTCCCACTAGCTCTCAACAAAAACAGCGGAGTTAACTTTTAAGCCTCAGGATCATATAAAACTAAACTAGGGCAAGACAACACCAACCCCTCACTTCTTCACTCTACCTGCCCTATCCACCCCCGAGTGGAGGGGAGAGGAGCTATGGAATGTTCCCCTGTCCCACAATGTAGGCATATTTTAAAGTAGATTATTATAATGTAGATCATATTCATTCCCACAAAAATTATATAGTAAAAAATGTAAAGATCACAGCCTTTATCAAGAATTTGGCATTTTATAAGTCTGGCTAAATATAAACATCAAAGCAAAATACAATATATAAAAACTATAAACTCTTCTGTAATAATTTAAAATCCCATAATACAAGGATAAATATACTGTCCATATGAATTATAAAAGCAAGCCTATCATACCATAAAGTATACATATGTCCCATAAAATGCTAATTTGACCTTTTTTTTTTTTTGCGTTACGCGGGCCTCTCACTGCTGTGGCCTCTCCCGTTGCGGAGCACAGGCTCCGACGCGCAGGCCCAGCGGCCATCTTCCCGGACCAGGGCACGAACCCATGTCCCTGCATCAGCAGGCGGACTCTCAACCACTGCGCCACCAGGGAAGCCCTAATTCGACCTTTTTTTTTTTTTTAATTTGACCTTTTAAAATGATTGTGTCAGATTAATGAATCAAAGCTTAGCAAAGTGCCTTTAGATGGGGTCCAAGGGCTGTTTTCTGAATGCATTAATCTCAACATTGAAATATCAGTGATTTGGCTTATTTCTTTCTGGCTTAAAAAGGCCTTTGGGAGTGATTTATTTGGTGCACATGGCTTTTCAGAAGTTTACAAAGCTTTCCAGGGAAATTAAATTGATGCCTTATTTTTCTTTGATATATTTCCTCACAACAGGTTATTTATTCATGAAACATTTCTGAAGCCTCTGCCATGTGCTGCATGAGTTTCAGAGAGTGAGGGAGAGCTTCTGAAGTCCCACAGATCTAGAACCTAACTGCAATATCATCTACTGGCTGTATGACCTTGAGTGTGTTTTAAAACCCTCTGGGCCCCAATTACCTCATCTGCAAAATAGCGCTAGTACCACTGACTTTGCAAACCCAAAAAGATAACACATGGAAAGTGCCAGGATCATATGCTGGTATGGAGTAAGCAGAGATTAAATTTTAACTTTGTGTCATGAGTGGTATTTCCACTTAGCTCTCACGGTCACCTTGTGTCTTCATTACTCTTATTTTATAAATTAGGAAACGGGTTCTTTCCAGTGAAGAGCCTGCCCAGTGTTACACAGTTAATCAGTGATGAGGGTAGTGTTTTAAACCCAGGTCCTCAGACTTCAAATCCAATGCTGTTTCCTGCGATGCCTCAGCTGCTCCTCAATGACTGCTCTCAAAGTTGGGCTCTGGTCCCTCCCCAGAGCCTCGGCACACCATTAAGGTCCATCTCATGGATACTTGGAGAAGGAATCTTCTGAGTCTGACCTTTCCAACCTCTCTCTCATTTATTTCTTTGTAGAATGAGGTCTGAGAATCCCTCTGGCTTCAAAATGCTATCATTCTAACATCTGTTTTCTTTGAATCCTAACATCAGAGGCGGCAGTGGATGCCAGCCAACTGGAGAAGATTCTGTTAAGTCTTTGATTAATTTTAATACCCATGGAAAGGGGGTAATACACAGTTAATCATTTAATCTTTGTTGATGGTAATCTCTCTAAAATCTACCGGAATAGAGAATAATGTGCACAATCGAACCTGTGTTTGCTAGTACAGGATTTGGTTGAGTTTCTCTTCTCATCACATTGTAACCCAGGCATAGAAAGGCACTAGATTTTGAGTCTGAACTGATTCAGCCCCGCAGTAGACGCTGTCTGTTAGTCTGCTAGCTAAAGCCACTTTAGACTAGTTTTTTAGTATCTCTCTCCATCACTTCCTCTCCATTCCAATCAAATAAGAGCAATTTCTGACTGGTAAGGATTCTCAAACATTCAGGAAATTAGTTTACATGGTTTTTACTGTGCAAATATTTATATGTATCTTTTTTCTACAATCCCAGAGTCAATGAGTTCCCATGGTAGTTAAGAATTCTCGTAATTTATTTGTGTATCTGAGGTCTTTCTTCACCCTGACCTAATCATTTGTGATAGATGCTTTGAGAATGCACTTTATATGAGGTGGGTGGTAAGGAGAGGAGAATATGGGTCAAGAGTGCATTCAATATGTGTGTATTTTGTAGGTTTTTCTTCTTCAGATTTAGAAAAATAAACCCTTAAATACATCAATTCTGCAGCTCTCCAGAGGCATAACTATAGAGTCCTCCTAGTTCTGGACGCGTCTCTAACCATGAAGCCCTGCTCGTGGAAAAGAGAACAAGTGGCAGGTCAAAAATCACCCACGGAGGGGACCAAGGCATTCATCAAACATTTGCTGATTGCCTGTGATGTGTCAGGCACTGTCTTAGTCACTGTGGATACAATGAGAAACAAAAGAAACAAAAATCTTTACCCTCCTGGAGTTTACGTTTTAGTGCAGAAGTAGGTGAGACAGACTATTAAACAAATGAGCACATAATCTGTCAGTAGTAAAGGAGAATAAAGCAAGGATGAGGATGGAGGATGGCAGATGGTCAGTGGAAGTATCAGATCAGACAGGGTGGTTGGGGCAGGACTCTGTGATAGAAACCTCTGAGGCTAAGAGAAATAAGGCAGTTAACCACATGGATAGCTGGGGGAAGTATGTCCAGATCAGAGGACACAGCCACTACCCAGGGCTGACAAATGCCCGATATGTTTTAGGAGAAGCAAAAAGGCCAGCATGGGGCTTCCCTGGTGGCGCAGTGGTTGAGAGTCCGCCTGCCGATGCAGGGGACACGGGTTCGTGCCCCGGTCCGGGAGGATCCCACATGCCGCGGAGCAGCTGGGCCCGTGAGCCATGGCCGCTGAGCCTGTGCATCCGGAGCCTCTGCTCCTCAACGGGAGAGGCCACAGCAGTGAGAGGCCCGTGTACGGGAAAAAAAAAAAGGCCAGCATGGCTAAAGCTAAATGAGTCAAAGTGGAAGGAGGCGTGATATCTGGGGGTGGCATATCGCAGGGCTTTGTGGGCCATAGCCAGGACTTGGGATTTGATCCCAAGTGACTGGGGAAATCGTGAGAGCAATCACTCTGGCTGCTGAGTGCAGAATTGGCTATGGAAACAAGAGACCCGTTGATGAGTCTATCGCAACAAGCCCAGTCATTGATGCCGATGGCTTGGGCTTGGTGGCCAGCACCAGTGGGGTGGCAGTGAAAATGGCTG